CTGAGCTCGGGGGCGCGGGGCGCCCTGGCGGCGGCGGTTGGCCGAGGACTCCTCCAGGACTTCCCGGTCCCCGCTCTCGGGCCTCGGTTTCTCCCGTGTTAAACTTTTTCGCGGAAATGCTGTTTTCTGTGTAAAGACTTGGAGGAGGGAAGCCCACAGTCGACTTGGCGTGTAGTTCCTTGTTTACGAAATAAAAAAAGTCCCGTGGTCCTTTTCCGCGAAGCTCCGCAACGCTGCCTTTTATGCTATGTGACAGGGCGGGTGTTTGTTGGTTTTGGGTGGTGGTGGAAAAGGTGCTTGGGCTTGTCGCTGTGTGTGCACACAGTGTCGGAAGGAAATACTTGCAGCCCTTAAGCTCTCATCTTAGTTTCAGACCTTCATTTTCGACCTCCAGTAGTTACTGAAAATGAAAATGGTAATAAGTTTTCACCCTGTTCACGCTGAGAATCAGAGTGTGCATAAATGACTAATACCGTCTTATCTTAACAAGGGCTTTTTGGTCAGCGCGACTTGGGTGAGGTTTTCTTGCATTTGTTATAGATAAGGATATAAAGCAAATATGTTGATGTCAAACCATGTCCAGTCTAAGCTCGTGTGGCATCTTTCCAGAGTGCAGTGGATCTTTATGTACAGAAACACTTTGCAAGATAGTTATCTAGCTATATAAAAATTTGACTGGAAAGGTCTTGCCAACCTTAATCGTCCTGTCGACAGCCACTTACTAGCTGTAGAGTGCCAAGGTTTCTCTGAACAACCATCTGTTGTATAAATATTTACAATGCTAGGTAGTCAGAGTTTTGTCATCGCAAAAATATGCTGGGGCTTGTAGTAACTGGTTAGCCAGATACCAGTTTTGTTAAATTGAAGAACTGCAAAAACCGTAATGGCAATTCTAGTCTGACAATTGATAACTTTTCACAAAAAAAGGCTTCTTAAAAAGAAGTAATTGGAAGGTAAGTCAGTTTCCGACTGCGATGTTTTTTCCTGTAAGTTTTGTATGAGTTTTTTTTAGGCACTAATTCTTAAGTCAACTACTGAGCAGTCCAGAAAACTCACAGATCTAGATCTGTTGCTGGATCTACAAGTTGACAGATGCTGTTGGTAGTTGTGTCTTTGCTTTGATGATTACACAGACAGCAGCTGTATGTGTCGTGCTTCTACTATCTCCCTTTTTCTGACTGGTTTACATAGAACGCAGCCTTTTCAGAACATGGTGTTTTCCTCACTGTAGGTGTGTGTTGTACAGAGTGTTATTTTCTTACCGAAGTAGTAGTCCAGGACTACTTGCTCACTTAAAGTGAGACAAAATGTAAAAATACAGGATCTTAGTTTCTAGCTGTAGCTATCGATCATGTATCAGCTGTATGTCAGCCATAACAGTGCAAGGAGTAAGTTGTTATCAGTTTGGTGTTATACTTTGCAAGATGAGAAATTGGGTAGTGCTTTGAACTGGGTTTATTTATAAAAGTTTTCTAAACATGTTTTTGGACAGTCTTGATGTTAAAACTGTATGCCTTTTGCAAGTTTATGGTCAGACAAATCTATTAAAATAATCTTTATTTTATGTTAATATTTCCAGTTAGTGCAGAGCTTCTGTTCTCTTGGAAGTAACTTTTTGCCTGCCGGATTTGTTCTGTGGTCTCATTATTCAGTGGACATCACATCAGAAGTTGTACTGAAGGTAATTGTAATGAAAAAATACTGAGTATGTGATATTGCTTATTGAATTGGGCAGAGAGAAAAGGGTTAGAAAAACATGCTCTGTGTCCATGCATTGCTTAGAAAAGGTGTCATATGCAAATGCAAGAATAATTTTTGATCCGGTAAGAAGAACTGAGTAGCTTATTGACAGATAACAATGCTTTTCACATCCACAACCACTCTTTACTTTCAGATGTTTTGTATTTGAGATATTGATTTAGAAGAAATTGTTATAAAATCTAGTCTGAGATGAAAAAGATATAAAGCACTGGGATTAGTCTATCCTTAATTATTTGGCTAGAAAATTGTTAGATGTTATATACATCAATACTAAGTGCATACTGATGTAAATCCCTTAAATTAGTTGGTATTTTGCAGCTTGAGTTGTTGTAAATATGCCCATAAACTTTTTTCCTACCTATATTGCTGTTATTTTCCTCAGAAGTAGTGTGTCATAAGAACTTTCCAACAGAATTGTTTGAGGTCAGTTTTTTTTTCCTTTGGGCATATTTTTTTTAAAATATTTTTATTAATTGATCTATGGTACATAAACCAAGGGAGAAAAACTCCACTTTGGTGGAGGAGATCAGCACATTAATATTGTTTATGCAGTATTGCTGGCAGAAGTGTAAAGAAAAATATAATGAAGTCGTTATAATAGTTATTATGCAGTTTGTAGATAACAAAGATACTTTTTTTTTTTTTAATTATTAAAGTAAATAATCACATGCAGGCACAAGCCGACTTGCAGGGGTTTGGGATATATTTCCATTAGTTCCAGGAATTCCTGTTGTTGACTCCAGGATACCTCTTAGTAGTTACTGCTCACACATTATACTGAATACGCCGCTCAGAAACAACTATTTCGGTTGTTACGTTTCACTGTTACACTTACTGAGCTGTTATTTCCTCCTCTGAGGATGTGCTCCAAAGTCTCTTCTGCTAAGAAGGAAAACAAATGGTTTTCCTAGTGGCCCGCCATGTTTTAGGCTACCTGTGGTTTTGTTGGCCTTTGTGTTTTTGCCAATAGCCAAAAAAATTGTTTGCCGAAATTTAGCACATTACCTGGGCTGACAAGGAGAAACAAGTAAATGTTATCTCATGTGACTTCCCAAGTCTGTTTTAAGAGACGCATTACAAAAACAGCTGTACTTGAAGGGCAAAGGGGCTTCTGAACAAAAGGTCTTAAATATTGCACTGACTAGGCAATACTTTTGTGGGCAAAAGCTCTTTCATCTATAGGCTCAGAAGAAAGATACTTCTTGTACAAAGAATTGTTCTTGATAAACCCCATGAGTGATTTTAAGGTGTTTTCGAAAAGTGAGTTAATTAGTAGTCAAAGTTAGATCAAAGGTAGAAAAAGAGAGATAAGGTGACGTGTGAAATGCAGAAAAGTATATGTGACTGGGAGTAGCAAGAATTAATTTTGTGATGTAAGTGATAGTAAGATCCATCCTTGGCTATCATGCTGAAAGCCCAAAACATACGTCTGCCCGGCATTTTTTGAAGTCATTAGTTGTCTTTACTGTTCTGCATAGTGGTGCAACTATAAAGATTAAAGCAGTTGGAGAAAAAGACATCAAGATAAAAAAGCTCAAATAGCCTCTTCTCCCCCTAGTTGTTTGGTTTGCTAAAAGACCAGAGATGAAAAAATTAGAGCCATTCTCTATTATAAATTTATTGGAATTTGTTAACTTTTCACTTCTGTGTAGATATTCATAATGGGAGTGCAAATATTATTAGAGTGTACATGTTTGTAGCATGTGTTGTCTGAGTGTTTCTGATTGCTGAAGTGCATGTCCTCAATAGGTGAATGTGGAAGAGAAATGCTCGTCTTGCTTTTTCCAGTGTAAAAACAACAGTTAAGTGTCAGGAGGAGATCAAGGCTGCTAATACTGGGTATACTCTAGAAACATTAACAAGATTTGGCAGTCTGAGAGAGAATTGTATCTGATGCCCAAGTTCAAGTGGATGTATAAGCACTACAGACCAAAAAATACAAATGAGCACATGTAGGTATCTCTGTATGCATGCGTAAATGAGTGGAAGGAGAGCGTTTGGCTGGAATGATTATGTATTCATGTATTGCGAATTAATTCCAGCTCAATCATATTTGAAAAGATAAGGACAGGAAAATAGACGGTGAAAATGGGTATGAATTAATACTGTTAAAACTGAGAGAAATAGGGACCCCTAGAGCTTGTCTACTCTAACTCCCCTGCTCGAAGCAGGGTCAGCAGGAGCTTAGGTCTTTGTACAGCTGGGTTTTGAATGTCTGCATAGATGGAAGTCCTTCAGCCTTTCTGGTCAACCTATTCCAGTGTTTGACCACCCTCACATGAAAAAAGTGGTTTTTTTTCTTGTGTTTAGACAAATTTCCTACATTACAGTTTGTGTCCACTGCCTTTCATTGTGTCACTGGGCACAACTGAAAAGAGTCTGGCTCCATCTTCTTTACTCTCTGCCCATCAGATCTTTATACACTTGGGTAAGATCCCCCTGAGCTATCTTTTCTCGACGATAACAGGTCTCCATTCTTTCAGCCTCTCCTTGTATTGCCCATGCTCCAACCCCTTAATATCTTTGTGGCTCTTTTGCTAGACTTGCTCTGGTATGTCCATGTGTCTCTTGTACTCGGGAGCCCAGCACTCCAGATGTGTGTCGTCAGTGCTGAGTACAGGGGAAGAATCACCTACCTCGACCTGCTGGTGACACTTTCCCTCATGGAGCCTAGGAAGCTGTTGGACTTCTTTGCCACAATGACATGTTGCTGGCGTGTGCTCAAGTTATTGTTCACCAGGACCCCCAGTGGCTTTTCTGCCAACCTGCTTTCTGCCAGCTGGCCCCCAGGCTGTCCTGGTGTATGGGGTTATTTCTGTACAGGTGCAGCACTTTGCACTTTCTTTTGTTAGCTCCATGAAGTTCCTTCTGCACGTTTCTCAAGCCTGTCAAGGTCCCTCTGAAAGGCAGCACATCCACCAGAGTGTCAACCACTAGTTTTATACCACTTTCAAACTTGTTCAGGGTGCACTCTGTCCCATTGTCAAGGTCATTCATGAAATGTTAGCACTGTTGGACCCAGTATCAACCTCCGAGGTACACAGCCCTCCAGCTGAGCCTCACGGTGCTGATCACAACCTTTTGAGTTTGTCCAGTTACATAGCCCATGCTTAATCAGTTTGTTTATGAGAATGTTATTGTGTCGAAAATCTTGCTCAAGATAGACAAGGAGGATGATCAGGTTAAACAGCATCTACCGATCCCATCTTCTGAGGCAGTCATCTCATCGTAGGAGGCTATCAGGTTGGTTTCCCCTTCAAGATTTCCCCTTCTTAACTCCATGTTGACTTCTCCGCATCACCTTCTTGTTCTTCATATGTTTAGAAAGGGTTCCCAGAGATCGAGGTCCAGCCTGTAGTTCTCCGGATCCTCCTTCTTGCCCTCCTTGAAGATAGGAGCGACATTAGCCTTCTTCAGTCCTCAGGAACTTCCCCCGTTTGCCATGACCTTTCAAAGATTATTGAGAGTGGCCTTGCAATGTCATTGATAAGCCCCCTTGGCATGTGTGAGTGAATTTTATCAGGTCCCATGGACTTGTTTATGTTGGGTTTGTTTAAATATTCCCTAACCTGATTCTCTTCCACCAAGGGTAAGTCTTCCATGCTCCAGATTTTCTCACTAGTCTTAGGGGCCTTGGAATGCTGAAGGTTCATCTTACCCATACAGACCGAGGTAAAAAAGACATTGAATAGTTTGGCTTTTTGCATATCCTTTGTCACCATTTCCCCTGCCCCATTCAGCAGCAGACCCCCATTTTCCCTAGTCTTCCTTTAGCTCTTGCTGTATTTGTAGAAGCCCTTCCTGTTGACCTTCATGTCCTTGGCCAGATTCAGCTCCAGGTGGGCTTTGGCTTTCCTAATCCCATCCCCATGCACTCAGTTGGTGTCTGTATCCCTCCTGGGTCACCTGTCCTGCTTCCACGTCTGATGTGCTTCCTTTTTGTGTTTGAGTTTAGTTAGCTTCTTGGTCATTCCTGCAGCCCTCTCCCCTGCGTTTCCTTCATTTTCTGTTCATTGAGATGGACCATGCTTGAGCTTGGAGAAAGTGACTCTTGAAAATCAACCCACTCTCCTGCATCCCTCTTCTCTCCAGGACGGTCTTGTCATGGACCTTCCAAGCAGGTCCTTAAGCAGGCCAAAATCTGATCTACTGAAGTCCGGGGTTGTGATCCTGCTATTTGCCTTGTTCTCTCCACTCATGATCCTGAACCTCAGTGTTTCATGGTCCCTGTAGCCAAAGGTGCCCCCAACCTTCACATCCTTAACCAGTTCTTTGTTGTTTATGAGGTCCAGTGGAGCATCTCTCTTTTTTGGCTTCTTGATTGGTTGCATCAGGAAGTAATCATCAATTTGATCCTGAACTGCTTGTGCGCTGCTGTGTTTCTCTTCCAGCACGTGTGCGGTTAAAGTTGCCCGTGAGGTTGCCCTCAGGTTGTGTGAACCTGAGGCTTCTTTCAGTTGTCTGAGGAAAGCTTCATCTGCTTATTCTTCCTGATCAGATAGTCTATAACAAACACCCATCGCAACATCACCCACGCTGGTCTTCTCACAAATCCTGACCTGTAAGCTCTCAACTAGTTCGTCATGTCTCCCAAGGCAGAGTTCCGTGCATTCCCACTGCTCTCTGGCATAAATGGCAGCTCCCTGTCCTCACCATCCCAGCCTGTATCCATCCGTTGCAGCACTCCAGTCATGTGAGCTATTCCATCATATCCCTGTTATCCTAATAGATTATATCCCTGCAATGGTACACAGACCTCTAATTACCCCTGTTTGTTCCCCATGCTGCATTCATTAGTGTACAAGCACCTCAGATGGACACTCAGTTGTGCAGTTTCCCAGAAGAAGTTTGTGAGCTTCCTCCATAATGCTGTGCTCTCAGCACTTCTTTATCTGTGTCCATATGCTGGAGGTGGCTCGCCCACAGCCCTGTTTTGTTGATTACGAGGTCTCTGTTGTCCACGTCGCCCTTCACTCATTGCTTACCAACCGTGTCCACCACTTCCTCAGTTGATTTTTGGATCACCACTTCCCTAATCTGTCACTCCTAGTTTAAAGCTTTCCGTAGAAAGTTCACTGGCCTTTTGGCAAAGATGCTGTTACCCTGCTTGGTCAGATAGATCCAGTCAACTCCCTAGCAGTCCTCAATCCTCAGAGAGGGTCCTGTGTTTTAAAAGCCCTATTGTTGATACCAGCTCTACAAACAGTTGTTGAACCGCAGCATCTGTTCTGTCATCGTCAAGCCCTTCTCCCCTGACTGACAGGATTGAGGAGATGCAAGCTGGGCCCGTGGCCCTCAGCCCCAGAATCATGTAGTTATGCTTGACACACCACAGGTATTCCCTGGCCTTATCATTGGTGCCCATGTGGAAGCGCAGCTGGGGGAATATCCTGCTGGTCAAACAAGCTTTATCAGTCTTTCCAGGATGCCCCGAACCCAAGCCCCTGGCAAGCAGCAGACACCCCCTGGCAGAAGGTCAAGGGGGCCTTCAGTTTTTTAGGCCTTGCTCATTGGTATAAAAGATTAGTAAATACAGTACTTAATCTTTTTTATGATTATCATAAATTGATAAAAGATTCTGAGGACACAGTAACTGTATTCATTATGCAGCATGAATTTATAATACAAATGTTATAAAACTTGATGTATTTTTTTTTAAAAAGTATATAATACTCTGCTATATTTGAATACAAATACGGTTAGGCTGGAAGACAGTAAACAACAGGTTATGATAGACTGCATAGGAGAAGGGTGGGAAAATATCAGTTTGTGTGGGTCTGATTTTGATTAATGATCTGGAAAAAGAGGAAAACAAGGAATAAATGAAGCTTGTGGATAATATTAAGCAGAGGAATTGTTAATGCCAACAAGGATAGACACATATGAAACAAGCAAGTAAACAAAACCTTTCGACAAAGAGGTGGTGTCTGACAAGATGAAATTTCAATGCAAAAACATTGGAAATTTATAGGAATGAGAGGAAAGCTGTCTGAAATGCACGTTTCCTGAAGCACAGAAAGTAAGGAAACTAATGTTGAATGGACTGCCTGTTGATTAGGAGAGTAGTTAAAGGTTTTTGTGTGTGTTCTGAAGTTTTTAACATGGGACTTGGGATTTCTTCAGTCTAAAATATAAAGCACAGCATGCTAAGCCTATCAGAATAGAAATCTCAATATTTTAAGTATGAAAAATAGTGGGAAAACATGCTGTCATAAGATTCCTTTTAATGATTTATGAGAAAGATGTAAGGAAGTGTGGTCTCTTTCTCTACAGGATTGCTACAAACGGGCATGAAAGAAAATTTTTGAGCAATGATGAAAGACAATGCATTCCCAAGAAGCTTGTGAAAATTTTGTCAGCTTTTAAAAGTTAATCTTCCAGAATATACTGGGAGAATACAACAGGTGGGAGGAGAATGTGTATATCCTTTTCTGCTGCCACCTGGCTGAAACTAATTGCTTCCTTTTCTTATGACTTTTCTAGGCACTTGTTTTACTTGCATCTTCATGATAAATGTTGTTTTTTAGTGAGGTGTAGCTAGTTAATGAGATGATAAGATAGTACTCGTCCTTGTGCACTAACTGTGTTAGTGAAATATTTATAAGTTTTCATTTAGTTCCTTAAATCATAAGCTGACAGTTTTTTTTCTGTTGAATGTATATGGAAACTTGTGGGTTGCATGATACTAGTTTCACTTTTGTTTTTTTTTTTTTGTTTTTTTACCTCTCTAGAACCATCTTTTCTTCCAAGGTGTGAAAAATTGTCATCCGTTTGTGTTCAATGGGTCTACGAATTCACTTTGTGGTTGACCCTCAGGGTTGGTTCTGCATGGGCCTCATTATCTTTGTCTGGCTGTACAACACAGTCTTCATTCCCAAAGTCATCCTTTTTCCTCATTATGAAGAGGGACATATTTCAGCTGTGGCAATTTTGTGTAAGTCTATTTAACTCAGTTATTTTTTTCTACAGGTGGAGGTAATGTCTTTAGGCAATAGTTAACATATGTTAGGAAGATCAGAATATAAAGGAGAAAATGAAGTTGTGTGGCTTTAAGAGCACTGGGATACATCCTCTATTTTTGTGTTCTGGCAACTTGAGAAACTTTCTTTCAAAGGTATTACGGTAAAACTTGCTTATGTGGAAACA